TGTCGATGTAAAGGAGTAGGGCAGAACCTCCCCTTGAGAAGTGACAAATACTACACCAACACCGGCTCCTCCACGATGTGCAGCACCATCAAAGTACATCTTCCATGGAGGTTTTACTTCAACGACCATTGCGTCTTCATCAAGTAGTTCATCAGTTGGTTCCCAGTCATCAGGTATCGGATGATCTGCCAAGAAGTCTGCCAATGCTTGTCCTTTTACAGCCTTTTGGGGAACGTACACAATCTCGAATTGTTAAAAATGGAGGTACCATCTCGCTAGTCGATCACTAAGAACATGTTTTGACATCACGAACTTGATGGGATTTGCTTTAGAAACAAGACGAACAACAAGAGCTTGAAACTAGTGCTTCAACTTTTGAATTGAGAAGACTAATGCCAAATACAACTTTTCAATTGGCGAATAATTCAGCTCGTTTGGTGTCATCATCATGCTCAAGTAGTAAAGCGAGTTTTCTTTCCTTTCACTATTTTCTTGGGCCAATAGTGATCCAATAGACCTTTCTTGTGCTGAAATATATAGTTTCAACGGCTTTCCACGTATAGGGGCTGCTGAAACTGGAGGCTTCATCAAGTAGGTTCTGATACTTTAAAGGTATTGCTGCAAGCTTGGTCGACGCCTTTCTTCATGAGGCAGCTGAATGGTTGGCACCACCCAACTGGGTTTGAGATGAATCTCATAAGGTATGCTAGCTTTCCTTGCATACTTTTCAATTCATGAATATTGCGAGGCTCAGGCATTTTCAAAAAGGCATTCACTTTGGCTTGATCAATATCGATCTCTCGATGTCGGACAATGAAACCAAGGAACTTTCCAGAAGTAACTCCAAAGGCGCATGTCAATGGATTCATCCTAAGTTGGTACCTCCAGAGCAATTCAAACACCATTCTCAAATATTTCAAGTGGTTGCCCCTCTTTCTTGATTTTACCACCAAGTAATCCACATAGCATTCGAAATTCTTATGGAGAAGGTCATCAAAGATATTCTGCATAGCCCTTTGGTTAGTAGCACCAGCATTTTTCAAGCCAAAAGGCATTACCTTGTAGCAATAAATACCCTTGGGGGTGCGAAATGCAGTAAGCTTTTCATCTTCTGGTGCCATGAAAATTTGGTTATAGCCCGATGAAACGTCCATGAAAAACATTGCCTCATAACCAGTAGTAGCATCGATCATCAGCTCTGGAATAGGAAGCGGTAATTCATCTTTGGGACATGTATTGTTGAGATCCCTGAAGTCAATGCACACTTGAATCTGCCCATTCTTCTTCCTTACAAAGACAATACTTGAGACCCATGTTGGGTATTTAACTTCACGAATAAAGCCAGCTTCAATGAGTTTGTTAACTTCACTTTCAATCAAGGGAACCAAGTCCAGCCTAAAGCGCCTTTGAGCTTGCTTAATAGGACGAGTGCCATACTTGACTGCAAGGTGATGGACTGCTACTTTAGGGTCTAAGCAGGCATTTCTTTGTAACTCCAAGCAAAGACATCCTTAAACTCCTTGAGTAACTCCATATAAGTTGCTTCTTCATCGGCTGCTAGTAAAGCACTTAGATAAGTGGGCCTCAGTTCTTCATCAGTGCCAAGATTTATTTCTTTCAAAGCGTCCACTGTTGGCTTTGCCCCTTCTTCAAGTTCAGGCGGAGCATCCTTATCGTCTTCATCTTCTTGAGGGTCCCCATCATTAAAGGATATGTGATAACACGCTGAAACGTCCTCGAATTTTTCGTCATCCTCCATTAGAGATAAAACACTATGCTCGCTTTGTGCAGTAACATGATACGAAGAACCCACACTTTCTTCGTCTTCATCACGTTCCCTAGTGTAGACCACGGTATATGGCTTCACCCTCAGTACCTCATCATATAAAACCACGAGTTTCATCTGCCACCTCATTCTAGAAGGAACCAGACTTTGGAAATCCTTAGAGATCTTCTGAATTTTGGGCGAAGCGGGTGTTCTTGCATTTCGATAATTTCTCTGGAACTTGTTCCCCTTCTTTAATGGACCCAATCTCTCAAATACGGAAGTCCTCGCAGTTGGATTTCCAAGTCGATTAAAGACTGAAGGTCTGTTAGAAGCAGCAGATTCATCTTCTACAGTGATATAATTATTGCTTGCTCTTTTTATGGAGATGCAAACTGGCGAAGGTTTCTTGTATCCCAGACCTTCACGTGGTTGCCTTGTATCAGCTTCTAACGGGAGCTTCCCTAATTTTGACGGCTCATTGGTATTATATCTAGCCTTTGCAAATAGCCTGTAAGCATTAGGATCAAAGCCTTCATTTGTACGCTTTGTAGGGAGCGCCACATTTTGAGAATGATTTTGGGCCACAAACCCTCCAAGTAGCATTAGGGATAGCTTTATTGCCTCAATTCGTTTGATCAGAAGAGTTAATTCCTTTAGAATATTGTTTTGGAGATTAGATAATTCGCCCTCCTCTTTCTTTTTTAGGGACATAACGGAGTGCATGGGTTACTTTCTTGCCGTGAGACACAATGTTCCCTTTATAAGGTTTATTTGAGCTAGGGTGCACCTCCTCAGCAACATCATTGGTTTTGTCGGCAACCACCTCAGCTCTCTTAGTCGTGGAATCGTCATTCTTGCCATTTATGACATCATCGGCTTTTAGCTCCTTCACAATGCGATTCTTCAAGTAGAACTTTGCATCGGCGAAGTGTGATTCAGCCTCGGTAAATGGCTCCTCATCAGGAACTATCTTCTTCTCGATTCCTCCCTCGTATTACTTCAAACATTGATGGTAGGTAGATAGAACCACTTTATTCTCATGTATCCAAGGCCTTCCAAGCAAGACGTTGTATGAAGTCTTTGCATCGATCACATGCAGCCATGCACTTGATTGTATATCTTCAATGGTGATTCCTAACTTGATCGCACATATGGCTCTTTCCCCCTTGGTTGAGTCCTTGAATGATGACATGACTTTCTGAAAGTTCGTTCATGGGAATACAAAGTTCTTTCACAGTGCGAATTGGCAAGATGTTCACTGAGGATCCTCCATCAACCAAAATTCTATTCACCCTTTCATCATGCATATAGCCAACCAGGTCCAATGAGCGGTTATGAGTAGTGTCTCCTAGTAGAAGATCGTCATTTGTGAATGTAACTCTTTTCTTGCAAGCATTAACTTCTTGAGGAATAGGCTCGATGAGCTTTTCTGAAGATGGTGCCAACGGTAGGTCATCACTCTTTTCTTCCCCTTTATCAGCATTGCAACAAAAGGCCTCAATACCATCACGGATCTTCACGCGGAACCAACTTGGCAAGAACTCCTCCAAGGTTAGTGGATTTCGTGGCTTTTGAGGGTAGTGCACCTCCACTTTTGCTTTCTTCAAAGGCAGAATGGCCTAAATGGCACCTGTACTTCACCCACTTTGTCATGCCGGTCCCCAAACTTACATATTTGCCAATTGAACACTTATACTCATTCAAAACGTGAATAATAAATGCTTATCCAAGGAGGCTGCCAGTGCGTGTTTGACAATCGCCTACACGTAGGACGCCACGTCAATAAAATATATCCACGTAGGCTCCAAGTCACATCTGATGGCCAAATAGGATAAAAAATCGAGAAATAATTATTTACCCCCCCCCCCAACCCCACATTTCCCCTCATTTTACAATTACCCCGCTAAATTAGGGCTTAGATAGTATAGAATAACAGTGAGTCGCTCCTCTCTTCTCCGTTGTTGTTGCCGGAATTTTCATCTGTACAGTTGTTATCAAAGTTTGTGGGGTAAGTTTCTTCATTTATTCTTCATATTTTGTCTTTATTTTTCTTCATTTCCTTCTATTTATGGGGATTTTGCTCTGTTTAGGGTTTTTTAGGGGGAGGTTGGGTTAGGTCGTAATTGCTGTTTAATATCCCTTAATATATAGGGCTTTTGTTGTGTTTTGCTACATGTTAGAGTGAAAGGCCTTTTTAATGTAGTGTCATGCATGTAATGGCATATTTGGTTATTCTCTTTAGTGTTTTGGGTTTTTGTTTTCAAATCAGAATTTCATCCTAATGTCTTGGGTTTTTGTTGGGTCTCGTTCTTGTTAGCGGTCCAACACAGTATTTTCTGAATATTATAAGGCATTGTGGGGACGAAAAAGGAATCTTGGATGCTTTTTTACTTTTAAAATCTGTCTTTTTTGTTGGTTTGTTTATGGAGTTGTGTAAAGGTGCAACTTTTGATAACAAATAGTCATTGATAACACAGTTTTTTTTTGGTTACTTTGCAGGTATGAAAAGAAAATGGCTTCAACTCTAGTTAACCTACAAATCCACCACAGTGGTAATTTTGTATCCGACCCTGACCTAAGGTATGCAAATGGACTAACTTGTCCTCACTTAGCTACAGTTGATATGGATGAGCTACATATTATGTTATTTCACAAGTTTGCTAGGGACTTAGGATTTTTAGAAGTGGATTTGTTTGGATGTAAAGTTAACAAAAGTGGTGCCTATTTCATTTTAAAAACAGATGCTGATGTGTTAAATTTTCTTAATACATTGAAAGGTGGTGACTTTGTTGATGTTTGTATTGTCCATAAAATTAGTGAGGCTATTCTTGTTGAGGACATAACTGAAATGAGATGGTGTGCTAGACATATCTGGGCTAATTGGAAGCAAACTTGGCCTGGTGAGGGAAGAAGGAAAAAATTCTGGCAGTGTGCAAGAGCTACATTTGAGGTTTACTTTAGCAAGAAGTTGGATGAAATGGACCAGCTGGGGGGAAATATTGTTCAGGACTTACTGAAATACAACAAGGAAACATGGTGTAGGGCATATTTCAAAGACCATAGTAAGTGTGATGTAGTTGAGAATAACATGTGTGAGACATTCAATAGTTGGATATTGGCAGCTAGGCACAAATCTATCATTACTATGTTAGAGGAAATTAGAATCAAGTGTATGGAGAGGATGAATAGCATGAGAGAGTTTTCTGAATAATGGGTAGGTGAGATATCACCCATGGCTATGGAAATACTTGGAGAGAATGCTCAAAGGGTAGCCAAATGTGAAGTCAAATTTAATGGTGAAACAGGGTATGAGATCCAGGATGGGCCATATAAACATGTTGTTGACTTTAGGGCATATACCTGTACTTGTAGATCATGGCAACTCAAAGGAATTTCATGTGCACATGCAATTACAGCAATGCATTACAAGAACTATGAGGTTGAGCCATATGTTGACCATTGGTATAGAAAGGATACCTACCTTAAGGCATATAGCAGATTCATTCAACCTTTAACTAGTATGAATTTGTGGCCAACAAGCACACTACCAGCTATTGAGCCACCTGTTAGAACTGCAATGCCAGGAAGGCCAAAGAAAAAAAGGAAAAAGGCTGCTGATGAACCAAAGAAGAAGTTTGGGAAGGGTACAAGGATAGGGAGACAAATGAGATGTTCTTTGTGCAAGACTCTAGGACATAACAAGAAAGGATGCCCATCAACAGTAAGTATTAATGTTTGTTTTGTTACTAATATTAAAAGAATTCAATTACTAGTGATAGTTTTGTTATGTGTATGCAGAAAAACCAAGAGGGACTGGAACTAGTTCAGGTAGAGGTGAAACTGCTGAAAGTGGAACTGCAGCAGCTGGAAGTGCATCAACAATACCTGCAAGTGCATCAACAACACCAGCAATCCTTGATCCAAGCACACAACAATCAACTAATGTTGCAAGAGGTCCAAAAAGGAAGACCAATGAGCCTAGAAGAGGTGGTGCAAATGCAGGGTCTAAGAGAACAAAGACAGCAGGATATGGTGTGCTATTTGATTCAAGTGGCACTGTTATACAGAGGGTAAATATTTCAACTCAATTACACAATGGTTTACTACATAATCCCTCACTCACAACCTTTTATTTTTGTGCAGTCTGGAACTACTGACAGAGTGGTACACAATCCTTCTACACTCATAAGTTCTGCTCCTACCAACATTGAACTTAGGTTCAAACCACCTGGACTAAAGTGGAAGGGCCGACCAACAGTTACACAAAGGCAGCTGCAAGAACAGAGTTACAGAAGGGCAAAGTCTGCTACAACCACTCAAGCCACACCAGTTACATAATCCACACCAAGCAGCCAAGCCACAACAAACATTAATTGAAGTGCTCAACTGATGTTTACTATGTTTTTGTTGACTGTGGTAGACAATATTTTGTAAAGCTACTTCATTATGTATGTTTTTGTTGATTGCCTATCATTGACAATATTTTGTAAACCAACTCCCTTATTTTGGATGTTTTATTAACTGCCTATAACACAGGCCATTATATTAGTACTTGTTGCTGTAATGGAGCCTTTGTCAATATATTCCATGAATAAAACTTTACATCAACACAAAATATGTAGCCTAAACCCAGGAAATAAGAAAGTGCACTATCAATTCTAAACAAATAACATAATAGCTAACATTAGAACAAGTACAACCACAATTATAATAGCAGCAACTCTGAACTTCGACCTTCCTTGACTTCTTTGACAATGGCATCGATCACTCTTCTTAATAAGAGCCGCAAGAAGAGTCTTGTAGTGTTCTTCCTCAATCGCAGGATCAACCCATCTAAAAAAGCCACAACCTTCACCAATCTCATATCTTCGGCAGCCCAGGAACCTCCTTCCAGGATTGGTGGGTGTTCGTGACATTTTAAGATCTGCAGCAACTCCACAATAACACTAAGGTTGCATCCTCATTGTTGAAGGAGAAGAGGCGGCAATAGCGTATTTGTTGCAGGAGAAGCAGAAAAAAATCCACTTTCAAAACAAAAGGAGATAGCAAAATTGATGGGCAAAAAAGATTCACATGAAATTAAAATTCTATTTTTGACTGTTGAAGCTAACAAAGAAAGAAGAAGGCATCAGATTTGCTAAATTTAGCTTCTCCAATGTTCAACAATGGAGAATAAGGTACAAAGAAGAAGATGGATGTTAAATAGGCTAAATTATTACCGTTAGGGCTTTTTTTACTGTCTTCACGCCCCTTACAGGCGTGTGAATCACGCACTGAAGCCACATATGACACATAGGATAAGCCACGTTGGATAAGCGTTTATTATTCACGTTTTGAATGAGTATAAGTGTTCAATTGGCAAATATGTAAGTTTGGGGACCGGCATGACAAAGTGGGTGAAGTACAAGTGCCATTTAGGCTATTCTGCCTTCTTCAAATGCTTAACTGGATGTCATCTCCTTGGTCTTTTCACCATCATTTTCCTTCTTGGTTGTTCTATTGATTCTTTTCGTGAGCTCCTTTTGTGGCGCCTACGACGAGTCGCCAACGTCCAACCTTCATTATCATCATGGTTGTCTGCTTCCACTTTGTTATTCTCCAGTAATTCTATATCTTTACTTTTTTTAAAACTGCATAATTCATCCGGACTGAAAGAGCCAAAGGTGATAGATACTTGGTTTGCACTTATTTTCTCATCTTCAAGCACGATCTTCTTTTCACGATCCAAGTCCATAAATTTGTCCTTGAAGAAAAAGCACTTCTCCAGAGGGTGGCTCACAAGTCGATGGTATTTGCAGTAATTTGGGTCATTCGTTTTCCCAGCTTCATTTGGCCGCTTCATTTACGGAAGCTCGATGAGATTTAACTCGAGGAGCTCTTCAAAAATTACGGGCACATCAGAATCCATAAATGGGTACTCTTTCTCTTACATTTCTTTTAGAGTCAACTTTCAACTTGGCTTATCTTGGAAAGAAGTGGACTTCATACTCTGCTTCTTGCTCACCTTTATCGTGAACTTCGCAGGTGATGTGTTGACACTCATAGCTTCTTTATTTTCAGACCTGGGTACAAACTTGCTCCATTTCCTGACTTCTTGCTTGTCGTTCCCTTTGCGAGGCTCATAGATAGGCAACCTTTCATTTCCAGCGGAGGCCATGCTCAATTCCATGTCATGGGCATGAGTTGCAAGTTCTTCAAATGTGCTAGGCTTGATACCTTGCAAGATGTAGCGCAGTCCCCAATGCATTCCTTGGATGCACATTTCTATGCCAGAAGTTTCACTAAGCCTGTCTTTGCAGTTGAGGCTTGCATTCCTCTAACGATTGATAAAGTCGATAACTAGTTCGCCCTTTAGTTGACGAGTATTTGTAAGTTCCACCATGCTTACAGTGCCCCTTTTGCTATAAAAGCGATTAAGGAACTCTTGCTCTAGTTGATCCCAGCTATCAATAGATACTGCCTCGAGGTTTGTATACCAATCAAAAAAGCATTTCCTTTTAGCAAGCGGACAAACTGCTTGACGAGGTAATCTCCATAAGTCCAAGCATTGTTGCATGTCTCAACGAAGCGTGCCACATGTTGCTTTGGATTGCTTTTCCCATAAAACTGTTGAATCTTTGGAGGTTGATACCTACCAGGCATCTTCAACATATCGATCCTCGCAGTATATGGCTTTGCATATGTAAGAGAGGACTTAGTAGCAACTTCGTACTTGCTTAATAGTTCCTTCAATGAACTCCTTCAGTTGATCGGTTGGAATCATCCCTTCGGATGAGACAGGGATAGCCTTAACGGATGCTACTTGTCTTGGGGGAGAATTACTCTCTGGAACCTCTGGGAGCTTTCCAGTTGCATAGGTGAATTCTTCTTCCATCAAGATTCCCACCCTGTCTGTTAGCTTGTCAATTCTAGCATCTTGATTTTGCATGCACTTGGTCAAGCCAGCAATTGCTTTCGTCAAGTTTGCCAACTGCTCCTCCACAGATGAAGTGTTTGTCACCATGGTTTGTGTCACGGGCATTTTTATGTCACACAAAAACAGCCCGCGCGGCAGCCAAGTCTCAACTTGACTTCAGCCTGCTCCAACACTTAGCCAAAATTTCAGTAACTTTGGACTTAGAATAATATAGGCAGCTTTTCAACGTAGTAAGTTAGGACTGATTTTAGGCAACGAAAAATAGGTAAAGGGACAGAAAATATAGATGAACACAAGGCACAATATACAGGAAACTCTTTTCCCAACTTTGTATTTAACTCGAGCATACAAAGAAACTCAAACTCGAAGTACAATGCCGTGTACAATGAAGATCACTCTTGACCCTCACAAGACTACTCTTAGCCTTAGGTTGTTTTCACTCTTGAAAACCAGACTTAGGACTCCTTCCTAACTCAATTGTGCACTCTTACACGTTTTTTCAATAGTTGCCTATTTTTAGGATTAGACACTTGCCCACTCAGCCCACTACTTTAGCCTAGTGTAGTTGACAACCCCCAACTACTAGGATCATGTAAATCATGCTAAAGAATAGTAGGATCATGGCCCCAAAAATGTGCTAACACTCCTGCCAGCATTTTAGCAAAGCTCAACTGCTGCCCATGTGCACAGCATGTGCCGTAACCGCCTTTGACTTAGTCAATCTGAAGCTTGGTGCCCATTTTCGTGCCTTGGCTTGGACCAGGCGCCAATGCCATTGTATCCAGATGCATTGTGCCACAATTTGCCTATGCCATTGCCCACAAACTTGGCTCGTTTTCCGCAACTCAATGCCATGACAAGTCTGCCCGCACACTGCCTTCCCGTTGCACTTTGGCCTGCCTTTGCCACTTCGTTTCTGCCTTGACTTGGAATCAATGCCTCATGCCTTGATGCCTTTGCCATGATCAAGTGTATCCCTTAGCCTGCAACTTATTGTCAAGACCTTGCCAAGCTGCCTCGCCTCCGTCAAAGCCTTGGCCATCACTTGCCCGTTTCCCTTTTTGACTTGGTGCTACTCGTGCACCTTGCTTTGCAACACTCTTGCTGCCTCATGACAACACTCTTGTTTTCAAGTCGAGATCAAAGTGGCGGAGGTCTAACAAACCATCCACACCCTTTGAAACTCGACGTCCTCGTCGAGGTTAACTCAATTTTTGAGTCCTAAGGGGTTGACAAGTAACGCCCCTTGGCCTCCCTTCTCTTCAGCTACAATTGCATTCACTCCAGCCACTTGTTTGTTGCTGGTCATTTCCTCTAATGCAGCCCTCTTGTCCGCGGCAGTCATAGCATTTACACTGCCTTCTTTGGGCACTCCCTTACTCGATGTGGCCCATCAAAAAAGGAAACAACCACTGAATTTGCTGCCCTTCTCTTTGCATTTTGAAGTTCCAACCTCATGTTTTCTCTACCCCTTGTCTTCATTTGCATTTGTTGTTTCACATTTCTTCCACTCCTTTGCCTTGTCCTTCTTTTCGTTGTTGGACTTTAGAGCAGAAATCTCATCATTCAAGTGAAAATCGCCCAATGCATCAGACGCAGCCACAACACTTGCGAGGTTTTGAATATTCTGCCTACGCAACTCCAATTGTTCCCACTATTGCAGCCCGCTCATGAAGTTGTGCAATTTGTCTTCTTCCGACATATTGCCGATGCTCAACATCAAAGATGTGAGCTCTTTCACATATGCTCTAACTGACCCGGTTTGTTTCAACTTTTTTAGTTTGTCCCTAGCAATCCAAGACGTATTGATAGGAAGGAACTGATCCTTCAATTCATTTTTAAGCCGCTCCCACGACTCAATCTTTAGTCTGCCCAAACTTTCATCTTCAGCCACACGAGTGCGCTAC